CCCCAAAACCCCAAAACCCCAAAACCCCAATTTTATTTGTTTTATTGAATAATCACGTTGCCTACAATATGAGAGTTATGATCTTAGCTTAGGGCTTTTATCTTTGAGTATTTTTCAATAATGAGAGGGAAATAAAGCTTAGTATTTCCTAAATTATGTCTAACTTGGATTTACAAATCGAAAATAGTCAGTCATGAGTACTAGAGTGGCTCCCATTTTGATTTTGATTTATGATTGGGTATAAATACGCAGTATAGAATGGGAAAAAAGATTAATTATTACTCTTTTCATTCTCATCAAACTCTACGTGGAATAACCCAAACCTAATCAAAAGAAATAGATACTTTTCTTGTATTTTGGAATGATTTTTATACAAAAAGTTAATGCTCATGAATGCCGAATACGCAATCTTTGATAAATTTAACTCAGATTTTGCATACAGGCAAACATGCTAAAAATGTCTATATTTTGGTCTTAAAAGTGAATGTTTGAAGAGGATGCAAACCTCCTATAATGAATTGGCATGGCTGATTTATTCGTTTCCGAGTTAAATCTATTCAAAGTCGCTGTCTGACTCTCCATTCCTGTTGAATCGTCTATACCAAAGAAGTTAGATCAGAATTACATAGGGAAATATCTCCAAGTGGTACGATTATGATAAATTCTTCGAAAAAATTGGTTAGCCGAATGTTTCGACACTCTTTTATAATTATTGAAATTTTCTAATATTTCAAAAGCTGCAAAATTTATGACACAAGATTCTGGAAACATCTTCATCAAAGATTTAGAATGTGTTAGCAACTCTAATGCCATTGTTATTTACTAACGTCATATATCATTGCCTTAGTAATTAGGTTAGTTGGTCAGATTTATAGGTTTAGTTAAATTAATTCAGACCAATGGATAAGCTGACTTAACTTAGTGAGACTTATATCCGAATAATAGCGAAACTAGTCAACTCGAGACAATAGACACAGAGTCTTGCGCTCGGGATTCTAACAATGAACTATTTATAGTACTCATCTGGTCTGGATGGGATTAAAATAGCGAGTACCATGACCAATAAAAACTCTTTAAACTAAATTTTATCGCCGTAAATTCAAAATTAATGAATCAAAATTAAGGATCCTTACCATATGCCAGAACCTCGTCAAGATTTGCTACGATTGCAGAAATATCCATCATGGTTTTGAGGGGACCCTTTGGATTTTCTCTCTTCTTCTTTGAGATCTTTCTGATCGATTTCTTTGAATTCATCCTTCTTCTCCTTTGCCTCATCTTCTTTGGAGATTTACGGGGACTTTTCTTTGGGCTTGAGACTTCTTTTTCTCCTCTAATTTCACAAGACATTTTCCTCATAGACCCTTTCCTTGGTTTCTCTTCTTCAATAGGCTTTTGCTCTTCCATATTATTGAGGATATCATTGAGGTTTTCAACTATGCTACTGCAGGGATGGTGACGATTAGGATTACCATACCTCACCTTCTTCTTCTGCTTCTTCTTTTTAGGTGATTTCTCCCCACTCTTAGCTTTATTAGTTAGAGTGATCATATTATTGAGCATATTTTCCTCAATCCCTGTCTTTGACTTCTTGTTAGCTTTTGAAACCTTCGACTTTTTGGCCTTCACCTTCTTTTTCTTCTTCGTCTTCTTTTGGCTAACTTTTGTGCAACTTTTAGTATCTTCGCATTTAGTATTTGAGCCGGATTTTTGGAAGAATATATGTCTCATCACAGGAGTTTGAGAAGAGTTTCTCTGACCTCCTTCAGAGTCAGAACTGAAAGAGAGTTTATCTCCCGCCTTGTAGGCTCTCCATAGATTCAGAGTATTCTTTTGTTCGCAGTTCAGATTAGTTTTGAGAATCTGCTTCCTTGTTTTGATTGGAGACATCATCCCCTTTGGAATTGGTGTATTTCTGGTCTCTTCCTGAGAAGATAAAGATAAGTCACTAGTAACACTCTCAATCTTGTCATTTTGTATACTGACATTTTTGGCAATTCTCTTCTTCATACGTTGTTGTTGTTTGATTAAAAGCTTTCTTCCTAGTTGATTTAGGAAGAGAAGAGCTTCACCAGCAGCTTCTTTAGGATCAATTTTTCTCTTGTTGCAGACCTTGAGGAGGTTTTTAACTTTTTCACTATGCTCAAAGTTCTTTTTAACGTCCTCCTTAATTGGAGATAGATTAGGATCCCTTTTAATCGCAATTTTTGGAATGGTCACAATTGGGAATTTACTGACGATACTAGTACGTCGCTGGGCTTGAAGTTTACAACTCTGCCTTTTAAATCCAAATGTGGAAACCATTGTGGATTTCCTACGAAGTTTAGTGCCTGATTCTAGTTCTTTCAGTCGATTAGCAAAGTCTTCCTCACTATCTTCATCAGAAGTAGCAGAGATGATACCATCTGAATTGACGGACCATCCTAGGACAGAATCTGTAACTGAGTCGCAGAAAATGTTTTTGAATTCCAATTCTCTCAGTTTCTTACATTTGGCAGCACCATTGAGAATCTTTGTGCATTCTTTCAGAAGAGGAGCTTTGGGAGATCTCATTCTGGACTCCTGGTCCAGCCTCTCCAATGTAATTGGGTTCAATGACTTGATTGGGTTTGCTCTTTTCCTATAGTTTAATCAGAAATCGAGCAAGATTTGCTTAGGGTAATTACGAGCGAATTATAATTTGATAAGATTTGAATAGTTTTACCCAAAAATTGATTATTTTACAGTTTTGATAGGTATTACGTAGATATTTGGAATTTTTGGAGATTAGCATTTTTGACACCAAACCAGCCCAGAGACTTGGAAATGAAGGGTTTTATAAATGTTTAGATAGAACACGAGAAAAGGTGCTAAGAGAAAATCTTGTCAAAGTAAGGTGAAAAACTGCATCTCTTAGCAGAACAACTATAGCTATTAGGACTCTTGAGTTCATAGTTGATCTAAATCATTTGAGACCTCTATCACAGTCTCTAACTACTAGGTGCCAGAATAGAATATTTCTTATTAAAATCTTACCTCACTCCTTTGGCAGAATGTGTAATTTCTGGAGGAATCTCAATTGCATCAATGAGGTTTTGCTTTATTGACAAAACATCTGTTCTTATTTTATCTAAAAGTGTAATTTAGTAACCACAATTTAAACAGCATGAAATACATGCTAAACACTGAATTCCTTCGAATGAAGGATTTGTCAGAACCAAACGTCACCACCTTAAAACACCAGTTTTCTAACCCATCTAGCATTTCCCTAATACAGACAGATGGAGCGGAGTCTTAGGGTTCATGGCTAAGAGTTCCTGCGTAGAGGTAACTATCCTACTTCAACCCGCATGAGTTGGAATAAACCTCGATTTCTATGAACATAATATGCACTTATGACCAATTATTTCTGAGCTACAATTGGAGAACACAAGGCTATGTCCAACAGGGCATGTCTTTGGGAAGTTTATTTTGGACCACAGATAACCTCGAAAGGAAGTGGAACTTACATGCTTTCGTATTTGATTCTTTCATCATATTTAGCGAATGTTGAAAAATAATTTTATTCATTTAATTGACAATAAGGAGGGGTTTTGGGGTTTTGGGGTTTTGGGGTTTTGGGGTTTTGGGG